TACATGTACAGTGTATGTAGGTCAAAATATGTGGAGGTAATGCATTGATCAATCTACGATGGTACTGTACAATTCGTAAGTTGCAGGTACGGTACATGTACCGGTACAGGTGCCAGTAGCATGCTGTGCCACAATCTACGGTACATCACATTCAGACCAGCATTTTGTCAGACTAGATTGGCAAGTTGGATGCATTTTAACATACAGTGTGTACGCGGTTCCTATGCTACCTAACCCAGAAATGTGTACCACTAAAGTAGCATTTTTGCATGCAGAAACCAAACCATTTTTTTGAGGTAAGCACAGGCATGCTCATATCCATTTCTACATTTGTTTAGGTTTTTTGACAGTTCAATGGGTATTTTATATTAATTGCAGATAATGAAGATTTTTGCATTGGCACTGGGTACCGGTATATGCTTACATCTGTGTCTTCATCATAGAGGGCAGAACACAAAGAATGAATGATGTCTCCCAGTCTCCTGAGGTCAGTCTATCCTCCTGAGTGACAAGTGTGGTGCTCCCTCGAAAGGACAGTGTTAATGGCCTTTCCTCAGTTGTACAGTAAAACACAATTGTGGGTCTAGACACAATGTGAAAGCGTCTACTGTATGCATACAGTACATATCGGTACTGCTACTGTACATGTACATGTATGTTTGACACTTCCTCAACCCATCATTAAAGGACGATACACTCAAAATAGAGAAAATGCAAAGATTCAAACACATGTACATGTACATGTACCATACCGGTACCAGTATATATGTTTTCTGTGTGCCTTATTAACTATGTGTATGGACTGTACATGTATCCAAGTAAACCCTTCAAATACCGTAGCGATGAAAAAAAAACTGATTCTAAGTCAACCAAGGTTACGCATGTACAGTACCGGTACCTCCTCTTTGCTGATTTCATGCATAAATATGCTGGCACAGAATCATTCTACACTTTGCGTTGCAAATTACAGAGTGGATAATGAGTTTGATGTGTGATACAGTATTTTCGTTTTCCAGCTTCCAGCAGCCCAACGCTGCACATTTCTGTCATTCTTGGGTGGAGGTACATTAGCAGTGTTTAGATAAGAGTACAGTGTTTCAAGAGTGCATGTGTACACGCACGTAATAATATACTGCAGACCCAACAAGGACGAAGCAATTTGTGCAAGATGTGCATTGTAAACATACATGTACTAGTGTACATACATGTATATCTGCAGAACACAAATACACACAAATCAATAACGGTCAGATTCCCTGGGCTTGTCCTGAGCTGCCTGTGATTGTATTGTCCATCTACATGTACATGTATATCTATAAAATTACTGAAAAAACCATTCCAAACAGGGGTTCCAGTATAAGCCATGAGGTTGGAATGGCACACAGGAACACATGGGCCAATCATTTTCACATCTTGGGACACATTCATGAGCATTATTATGATCAAAAACTAGCAGAAGATGCAAAGACATACATGTACGTACCAGTAGGTTAGGTTATGCATGTTTTCAATGTTCTATGTAAACAGAACATAAAATATGTTGGGCAATATGTTTGCAGATTAAATGTACAGACAGAGCTACAGACTACTTCAAACATGACAGATTTGATCCAGACAGCTTTGCTGTTTGGAAAATGCCTGACCTAGACAATAAACATACCAGTCTGACAGGGCTGGCATACTTGCCTCTGATTAGCAAGGTTGCCAACCCCCTAGGGTACATATAAAATCATATTGAAATTTGGAAGATTTGGGACTGTTAGGGATACTGAACTCAAATAGCAATCTGAGTTGAAAATAAAGAGAGACTATCACCTAATGTGCATAAATGGTGGGTTGTATTGGAACCAAAACCTGTCTAACGGTGAAACTACAACCTAGTGACATCTTTAGATAATAGCACTCCCAAATAAAACAAAAAAAATTAAACAGTAAACATCTTCTTGGAGACCGGAAAAACGAGGGCATATCTTTCCTGCAGTAATCATTACCAATGATCAGTCACTGGACAGGTGCTTGTCCTTGTACCATACCAGTACATGTAAGTTCCAAAACAATAAAGTACCGAAGTGTGACGTCACTGTGAACCAGAAAGAGCAATGCAAACCAATGGAGTACGCGCGCGTTGGTTCATGCGCTGGTTCTCGCGCTAATGTCTTTTACAAACTAATTGTGCGTGTGACGTATTCATCAGCTATTACGGGTACATACCAGTACAGTGTAGTAGTAATCATTGTGTAATTTGGGGGAACATTATTTGTTAACTACTTTCAACATGCAGAGGTGTCCCTGCACACCAAATGTGATATAACGGACAAAGTTTGTTCATGCATTGTGCATACATGTACATGCGTCTTAGCGCTACAACAGTGTGCAATGTATCACTGTATACATGTAAATTCCATACTGTACATGTACACTGCTGTACGTACATACATGTACATGTACATGTACGTTATGGAAACATGCATACCGTTATTGTACCGGTACAATGTCAAGCTTTACAGATGCTGTACAACGTATGAACAATATGAACAAGTAAACCAGTACGTGTATTTTCGACACCTGCCACAAAGTCCTCTGGGACACAAACCTGGTTGAGAAAACCTTTAAGTAAGGCTGAGGTTTCCAGAATGCAGAATCTAATTGACAGGATACACTATTATACTGGTAGATACAACTGACAGAACATAATGCATGCCATGAATTGTCTGGAGGGTGGCATTTTCATGGCATTCCTTCTCTCACTTTCATAAAGAATAAAATACGACCATCGTGATTAAATCTTGTCTGGCATTCCCGCTGTCCACTCTCTGGAAAGATTTTACTGTTTAATGAACCCACCAGAATTGGTCTGGAACACCAAAATTTTTGAAAATAACTATCCAGCGGTGTTCAGAGTTACATAAATGCAGAGATGACATTGACCAATGATAAAAATTGCTGAAAACAGCTAAAACCAGACGTACCGGGTAAAGAAGCTGAACTGTGAGAATCTCTTATACTTTTGTACAAAGCCAGAGAAGAAAAAAAGCTGAAATCCAAAACAAAAAACTGAAATCAGCTGAAAAGCTGAGAAATCTCACCCTTGAGAAATGCTTGGCACAATCTCATCTGTCATTTCCAGATTTACCTTTTCAGTAAAAGTGGTGGAAACTGGGTAGAAGGTTGGGCTAGCTGTGAACGCTTTAAATCACTGATCAGTGCCAAGAACATCTACATGTACAGAAGGCAGAAAAACGGAACTTTCTTCCCCTGTCGTACATGAAGATTTCCTTATGGAAGTCTTAAAATTGAAGGTTGTGCCCAGTATTTATGTACTGCACATGTAATTCTGAACACAACTGGATGGCTATTTTCAAAGATTTTGCTGTTCCAAACTGATTTGGATGAGGTATGAAAGTATTTTCTTTTCTCTCTCTCTCCTTTTTGGCAGGATCAACCACCAAACTGATAGAAAAGGATTCAATTTTAACCCCATGACAATGACTGTTTAAGAATACGCAAGTCAGTTATGATTACTGATGGTCAACATTAATCTGAACAGGTATGGGTGGGTCAAATGTTAAAAGCAAATGCTTTGTTGCATAAATATTATTAATTTTTGAGGAAATAATCTTGAGTACTTATCACGGAGTAAAATACGGATATTTCAGCATCTGAACAGACTATGCAATATTTGTAAGTGTTGTACGAGTATGTACGTGTTGGTCAGTCGTGGATCACTCATGCGTGCAAGACAGTATGCAGTCTAATGTACATGTACAGTATGTGTACATGATGCACATGTACACTGTATGGCACACTGAACACACCATAATCTTCACCTAGTGACGATAGGCCGATAAGGCCCTTTCCCCACAATATTAATTTGTGCTTTTTTGAGCTGCAGAAATGCTTGAGATAAGCCCCGATACTGCTGCGATAAATCTAGACAGGGGTAAAGATACGACAATGAGGCAAGGTGTTGCAAGAATGATCTAGAAATGTACAATATTAAGTCTGTGTGAACATGCATGCAACAGAATCTCAAGGCCATTTTTCCAGTTGTTTTGTTTTAAGCCAAATTCGCATTTGAAAGAGCAAGCAGAACGCTTGTTTTGAGGTATCATCACTCAGTTGTCCTGATGAACATAACATCATATGGGATGTCGCCGAAACAAATTGAGGGTTCCCATTAATGTTAATATTTGAAATTCACAAGATTCATTCAAAGACCCTGACTGGCAACTCTGTTTGCCAGGTCAGGTCACATATTTGATTCTAAGTTGCACTGAACATGGTGGAGGATTGTTGCCAATGCAGAAATTCTTCGGGTGGGTTCACAGCCATGACAGCATGAGTATCAAGCTGAAAAGTGATCCAGAACCTAACTGTCCTGACTGTCAGTTATGACAGTCACTATGTCAGTTATGGCCAGCAGTACTCTGGAACACAACAGTCATGACGGGAATTGTATACTTGGGGACCCCCCCCATTTTTTTCATTTTAATCTTGCAAAACTGATGCCCCCCCCCAAAAAAGGTAACACTTTTCTTTATTGCACTGATGCTATTTTGGGGAAATTTGTAAAATTGTTAATTGTGAGAAAATGTGACTTTCTCACTGATAAACCAGCCATGCAAATTTTAATCCACCATGTGTCATGTGTTAAAATGCTCAGTTTCTCTCATAATTTCCCTCAAAACCCTGCCCTTTTTTCACATCAACCCTACAGTTATTGAGCATGTCACAGTCATCTACAAAGGTGAATTCAAAAGCTAAAATGTAGATCTCCTTTCTATTATCTATCTCCAAATTTACAATCCCTGCCATGACAGTCAAGACAGTGTCTCACTATTTCTTTCAAGCACACAAATGTCTCCGCTATTCATGATTAGAAACAGGACAAGGATCTCCATTACCAATAAACCAAACACTAACATCAGATTTATCTGAAACCGAAATATGGTATTTATTACTAAACTTGTAGCTCAATACAAGAGCCAACATGTTCTTACCCATATATCAGAGATGCTTGCACCATTCTTATTCACTCCATTTTGCAAGAGATCCTCGATTGCCACAGTGCAATTGGCCACAAAATCATCGGAAGAAATGATAGAGCTGTGGTACACAGTTAGTAAAACATTCTCGCCATTTTGCACTTTGGCATCGAAGTCTTCATTCCAGGACGGTCTGACCGTCTTTTGCTTTATAGTCGTCGTGCCGACATGTTGATCGTCGACAGTAATGATAATGTACGGGTCGATGGTTGTACCTCCCTTCTTCGAGTCCTTCGATGTTACACTGTGTCTGGTGGAAAATTCGGTCGGCTTCAAGTCCACCGCCTCGCACACTCGCATCCGAATTGTGCCGTTAAAAACCACCATTTTGCCGCAATTTATCTCCTAAACGGCGAATAGAAGACTATTTATCCCCCTGCATGTCACAGACGTAGACAAGGGAGCCGGTGCGCCGGCGAATTAAATGCACAAAACGTTCCTATTTTCGTAAATTCATGCTTGACAGATGGACTGCCAGTAATGCTGGATACTGTTTGTGGGCAGTTTGCTGCCGTCTGGTGTACGGTACGTACGTCTCGGATGGACTGTGGATGGACGAGGAAATTTGTTATGCGATCCCACAATGCTTTTGGCATGACCTTGCAATATTAGTGTGCTGAACATTACCATGTTTTTATTACAGGATAATATCTCCCTTGTTTTAAGCAGTTAAGCACAATTTTATGAATTTTCATAGATACTGATATCCCGATGTCGAAAAATCGCTGAATGTTTTATCTTTATATGAGCAGAAATGCCCCACAATGTTTTATCCTGACGTCACGTACGTGTAATTACTACGTCTATGCAGCTATTTTTTCAGTAGAGACTTACTTCATCCGTATCATCACGCAAAGTCGTACGACTTTTGTAATGTGAACACATATTCAATGCGTTGAGCGTGTGGCACGTACGTACAGCTGCGATGCTCGTGGCAAAAGCGTAGCACGCATTACGATTTCATAACAAACAAGATGGCTGCGTACATGATGAAAAGGTGTTGGAGCTTGGGACGGTAAGTTGAAATTGTCACCTGTTCCTTCCTCCCTGGTTACCGTGATAACCAAAATGTGTTATCTTTCAAGAAAGTTGGGTACAAGTTCCATATACAGACGTCGCTAATTACCCCTTATGAGAAGGTAATAAAGTAAATTTAGCGGGGAAAATGACTGACGCAATTTAGGGAGTTTTTCGGACTAGTCTCATTAGGATTGTGCAAAGTGATGCCCGTGTATGGAACTCTTCCCAAAAGTAAAATTTTTTTTTTTTTTGGGGGGGGGGGTTATGGAACAATTCTTAAGCTTTTAAAACAGGCTAGTTATTACATCATCATGTTTACAGGTTTGAATGTTTAACCTGACAAACATGACAAATATTTTTAATGTTATAAATTTTTCACAACCGTGACAACTTGATATGGGGCTAGTCGAGTAACTGGGACTCTACAAATCACTTTTATTAACATTTGGACAGGGTCGGGCATCAGGTCTCTGACCATATTGGTTATTGTTACTTTTGTTCCTCTTACATTGTGCTATGCCCATCTTGTCTGTGTTATTCAATTGTCATGTTTGTTTGCATGAATAAATAGTGATCATTGATCAAGTCATCGGGTTACACTTTTCGTGATGTGACAACTTTTACCCAGATTTATGACACTCAACTTAATTTTTTTGTTAAAACTTAAAGCTTAAATTGGTTTTTATATTTTTGACAGCAGGCCATACGTGCTGTTTTTGCCAACTTGCAGGCTGAGTATAAACACGATAAAGTCTATAGGGCAGTGGAAAACTTCTTTGAGTGGGCCTAAATAAGTTGGAATTGTTGCTCTCTCTTTTAATGTGTTTTCATTAAACTCACCACCATTTTTATGACTGACTGACCTCAATTTTTTCACAGCAAGGTATTCAAAAGATCCATATCCAACTACCAAATACTTTGCCTCCAAACATAAATTCCATTGAAGACAATTCCATCTAGCTAAGGGAAAGCTGAAACTGGGGAAATATCAAGGTTTCACTTTATTGGGTTCTTTTGGTGGTAGCCAGATACGGAACTCTTTCCTGATTCAATTCCTCTGAACCGCATATTAAATTTCTTGCAACTTGATTTCTTTATGCAGTTCCTAAGTACCTTTTTTTAACCCATTTTGCATGATTTTCATATTGTTTGTGGGTGTTGGTTTAAAGGGCATTTGGGTATCTTTGTATTTTCATGCCAATGAAAATTGGCATATTTATTATGTCATTCAGGGCAGAAACTTCATTGTTGCAGCTATATCTGCTCTTAAATCTCCTAAATTTTAGGTATTGTGCTGTTTTAAAGTTTGTTCACTTTGGTGATTCATTGTTTCAATTAATGACATTGTGCCAGTAATCAGAGTTTCTCACTGAAATTTCCAGTGAGCAAATTTTTGGTCTACAGTTTTACAGAAACCTCCCCCCACAGTAATAGCGCCCTCATGTGTCAGGAAAAGCATGGATTATGTGAAATTTATGGAATGTGTGCTTTTCATTACGAGTGATCAAAAAAGAGATATCCAACAGGTTTCTTGCATGTAAGAGGAATAAAAGTGGCACAAAGCATGCTGTCATATAAATTTGCCTCATGGACCCTTTAATCACAATAAAGAAAGTCTGTGTTTTTTATGGCAAGCGATGCTTAAACTGCTGGGGTTTTACATATCTTCCTGTCCGACGAGTGACTTTGACAGGTTTTATTTTGGATGCTTGAAATTCAGCTTCCAGTGCCAAATTTGATTTTATTTTCATTTGTAGTGCCTTGAGAGGCCAGTTGCACCATCAAGTTTGTCAGAAGGGTTCGTACCCAAAACACTTCTCCGTGAGCACAGAGGCAGTAGCTACAGAAGACTCCATCAACATCACTGACAGTTGTGTCAAGGTAATTTACATACTGTAAATCAAAAGAAGCATTTTCGTATGAAACAAACCAGTGACGACCACAACAGTGTCCCGTAAACCTGCCAAAATTCAATTGCAAAAGTCACAGATTATGAGTTTAGAATACTTTGTAGATAGAAATTTCACGCCCGAAGTGAGGAGTACAAATGCTGTGTCCAAATTACTTTGCTTCGGATAGGATTATCACATGCTTCCAAGGGAAGTGGCTATACATGTAGCTTCTAGCTAGTGGCTATAGGTTCTTGTATTATTGCCGAGCCATTCAGAGTCACCCATTGCTGCAGACTGCTTTTCAAATGAGAAATCACAAACTCTCATTGTCCTTGTATGTTAAAATGACCCCTTTTGACCACAGTCATCTTATCCCAACTAAATCTTAGTTTTAAGAAAAAACTTATTTCTGGTTTTCAATAGCCTAACCTGGAACACACAAGAAACCTTTATCTTTTTTTATCAACAAAATTACTAGAAGTGAAAACCTCTGCTTCCAACCCCCTCCCCTTAAACCTAACTTTGGTGTACATCGTCCTATATCTTTAATATTTCCAAATTGTTTTTAGGCTGTCTTGAACAGAAATTGCATGGTCATGTGTGTTTTTACCCACAACCACCTGTTTTGTAATATTTTGAAAGGGTAGCTGCAGTCAATTTGTTTTAATACAGACCTTCAAAATGCACCTTTGTGTCTCAGTTAACCTTATTTTCAACTTTTGTTTCACTATTTCAAACATTTGAAGCAAGATATGGGACAGAGAGAACCCCCCGCCTTTGTGTTGGTCATTGTTTGATCGGAATCTCAGGAATTCTTTACAGACTTCNGGTAACAATAGTCTAGAGTGTGTATAGGGATTTGACATGTATGCAGGGGGACCCCCTCCGTCCCATATCTTGCTTGGTATAATTTCAAAGAGTATTTTACTGCTTGTTTGGTGTTTATGCAAATGAGCATTTCCATTTTCATGAGCAAAACTTCGATGTTATCTCAAGAGGAAAGTCTCATATTACATTGGTTAGTACACAAAAAGGTCATTCATTTTTGTAGATGTTGTTGGACTCGGTTTTCTCTTGTTTGCCAAATCATTGTTGTTTATGTGCATAGCAATAAACAAGCATCAATCCCACTCTCAGAAATGTTTCCAGTAGGTAAATTCTGGGTTCACAATTTGAACAGAAATACCTATGCACTGAACTATGTCTTCCCAAGATGACCCTTCAGTAACAGCGCCCTCAGTTGTTCAGGAAAGGATAGAAAATTTGAAGTGCACTGTTCAAGGCATTTAACCAAATGGGAAGATAAAAGAGTGTTCATACACTGAAGAGCATACAAAGTTGAAGAAAAATTGTCATTGCAGCTTCCCTTTAACCACTCAGAGCATATATACCGGTAGTGCTGATGAGAATGTGAAGTATAAGTAGGCGTAGAATATTTAAAAATCAGTCACGTGTAGTGTTGAAAAACTTACAAACCATCATCCGACCCTAACAGTTGTGGTTGAAAAAGATACAGCACATAAAAAGAAATTACCCACACCCCCTTTTTTTTTCAATGTGATTAGAAGTACAACTTTTTTGGGGACCTGCCTTAGCCAGCTGTATAATTCACCTGTTGTTTACACCAGCAACTATCCAGGATTAATGATGGGGATAAGCATCTCAGGGTGCTTGTGGAGGGAGGCGGTTGCTCCGGCTTTCAGTGCAAGTTCCAGCTCGACTCACAAGAAAATGTCACAGGGGAAGACAGGTATGCAAGGTTCATTATGAGTCACCAAGGTTTGGACTTTCTGCAGTTACTGTAAAAAGTGTGGTGCTACTGCTCAAACGTGCTCCAGACTGTTGGGCATCCCCTATGTGCTCACTGGCTGATGCACATGTACAAATGGTTGATTTTCAGAGCAATGTGCACAAATACTTTTATAGTTTATGTATGTATGTAAATGTGGGTGCTTGTGAGCAATGCCATTTTAGATGTCATATTTTGTTTTTGTTTCCATTAATATTTTAAATTTATTACCCCTTGTTTATGATAAAACCATGTTCATAGATACATATTCTTATTCTTATTGATTAAAGCCTGTGTCCTGAGTGATTTTAAATAGATGATCAAACCGCAAACTGATTTTAAACACTTCCCTAGTTTCCTGTGAAGTTTTTACACCATTTTGTGTGGGCTCTGCCCTTCTTACATAACAATCATTCAAATTATTGTTGAGCAGGCACAATAAAACCATTTTCCATGTTTCTGGGATCCAAAATTTCCCTCTGGATCTGCATCTCTTCGTTCTGCGCCCGATCACGCAGTACACACCACACTCGCTCATTTATAAGAAATTTAGTGCAAGAAGCACACACCACATATTTGGCCAGAGGGGTGTTTTACAAAACGTGAGGTAAAAGTACTAAACAAAAGTATTGGACAAATGTAGATTTTATACATGTACATTAATGTACGTGTACACAAAGGAAGTATTCATGAATGGAATTAAAAGTGGCTGATGAAAGATCTCACCTGTGGCTTGATCCGTTTTCACGCCTAGGCCCCTAGTGGATTTGAAGCATTCTAGCTTTAATGGTTGGTCCGTCACATTTTTATTCCCTTAATAATAGTTATCATTGACATACATGTAGTTTGATCATGGTTTCCCTTTGGTTGTGTGTTTCTGTTTTGGGGACACCCCTCTCGAAGTGATAATCTGAAACTGGCCAAATTTAATGAAGCAAACTGGTGAAGAGGAAAGGATGTGTTGCGTGAAGACAGTATGCACCAATCGCAGCTTTTACAAATATTGTGGAAGCTGAAATGGGATTGTCCCAGCTCATGCTGAGCCATGCAGTCAGTCGAAAGACTTCCCAAGGAGAGGATCGATCACATAATTTGATTAGATTGTCAAGGGAGAGACAGGGACTGAGGGATGATACCTGATTCTAACATCTCCAGGGTGTTCGAGAGAGATGGTGTCAAGGTGATAGTGGATGAGGTGTCCCTGGGGTACATCAAGGGTGCCACGGTGGACTACCACGAGGAGTTGATTCGTTCGGCCTTCAGGGTCATCAATATCCCCATGGCCGAGAACGGCTGTTCATGTGGCGTTTCCTTCTCTCTCAAGTTATAACGAGTGGTGTGTGAAAAGTTTGCCAAAAGAGGTACAGTTTTTGGGTGCTGGATTTCAGTTTAGGCCTGCAAGACTTTGTTTTGTAGAGCTAATAAGTGGAAAATATTGCCTAGCAAACTTACACTCATGTATTTAGTTAATTTATCCAGCTGGGATCCATTGACAAGCTATTTTTTGTGCTGAGTGACAGGGTTTCAGCCAGCAGTTGAAAAAAGAGGTCCACATTTGCCTTGGAGTAAAAAAAACAAAAACAAACACTGGGCGTCCAGTCTGCTAAGTTTATATGATGAATGTGCTTCTTGCAACATACCAACATGTAAAAGATGGCCTGTGGTGTGTACAAAGATGCCTAGGCCAAGGCTAAAACGTAACAGTTGTTCAGCGGCTCAGAGAAATTCAGTCTGATTAATCCAAGACTCTGTGCAGATAGTTGATGTTGGGTGGCATTGCTTAGGGAGCAGGATATTCACTCATATTAGTTTTTGTACACTGCATGGAGTACACAGTTTTTCATCGGAATGGGTACAAACCTTTTGTATCTTTGCATGGACTCTGGACAAGCTTAGTGTCAGTAGCATTCCAGGTGTCCTATTTCTCTATTCCACATACCTCTATTCCACATACTTTGGAGCCCTGTATCTAGGTGATTAAATTGAGGATAGTTGTATTTATTGCCAAAGAAATTTGCACTGTGTAACTGGATGTCCACTAGGGCAGGATTTCTTCTGGTTACTCCTGATCCTGAGGTTCACAGAAGGTTATCTATCCCCAACATTAGCTTCGTTACTTTCCAGTCTTCATTTTATTGTGGACCAAGTTATAGAAACAAGTTTGAAATCGAATTAAATTAGTTCAGATTTTCAAGCAGATACCGGTACCTCCAAAAAAGTTGCCAACCAATGATATAACTTGTTGTGCATTTAAAATTTGGGGTCTGTATTTTCCTTAATCACCTTCCACAACTTACTTGCATTTTTGTGTCTGGACAGAAGTGTCAGTGACCGCCTACCTGCTGGACTTCAGTGATGAGTTTAGCCGTGCACTATTTGTTTCCCTGCTTGGTGTGCTTGCTAGTCTCTCCACCAACCTGTCTTGGCAAGAAGTCTTTGGACTTGGTGAACTCCAGCCAAATGAAGTCTTCATTGTTGAAGTGCAGGCTCAACAGGAGTTAAGTCTTCAAACTGTGTTGACTTGTACTGCTCTGAGTTTACACTCTTTAACATTGACTACTTTTACCAATTTCCAACTTTTCTCATTTTTGTTAAAAAATGTACTCCTAAAAGCAGCATGCTTAAAACTTTAACACATCTCAGTTGCTGTTTTGTACATGTATGTGTAATATAATGTGACTGAGAGGAGAGGTACAAATCTGTAAAATGGATGTGAGAAATATTCATTGACTTAATGAAGGTAAACTGTGAGCATAATTTGCCAGTCACGAGGCTGTTGAATGTGGTACCACTAACAAGCTGACCTGCTGTCATACTGCTCTTGCATGGTTGGAATGGGTAAGGAGTCTAGGAGTTTATTCTGGGTTGAGCATGGAGACAGTACAGGATACCACTGACCAGCCAACAGGGAATGCATCCTGCATTGTGAAGTAAGCATCTTCTGGAGTCTTGATGCATTGCTGCATTGACTACCGAAATAAGTTGAGTCACATGATGAGTTGGCCCATGTACCACTGAATTGCCAAAGAACTCAGTTCTCAATTCTATTAACCCCTTTGCGCCGGGACGTGGATAAAGCCGCCGTAAAAATTGAGATCCTCAGCCCGCTTTTCAGCTATTATTCTCGGTCCACGCTTTAGCGAACACGGTGAAAGAAGGCAGACCCTGCCTCTTGTATGTATGGTAATTGGTCTTTTTGCGTAGCCCAGAAATGAAAAGACTGAATTTGCATCATAATCACTAGCTTCACAATAGTCCCCACTTTGAAAAGAGGCAATGGGAATGTAGAAGCTTGAGTAGAGCCGCATGCCACCGAACAATCAGCCTTTTCACCGTGCAGGGCCACAAACCGAGAATCTGCGGTTTGGCAGGTGGCCTTCGTGGCCAAGCGAGGCTGGAATTCTTGGAGTTGGCTTTCGGGAAGAAATTCCCGTCGTCAAGGGGTTAATGTTATTTTCACCTTTGTTTAACACCTAGAAAGGCTATAAACATTGCCGTTTGATGTCTTCCTTCTCTGAATTTGATGGAGTGACAAAAGTATTTGAAACTTCGTCATGCACATATAGACCTTTTTCACCCACGTGATTAAATGTAAACAACACTACCTTGTGTGGACCGCCTTGGCGGTGATTGCATATTCTTATGGGCAGCTTCAACCATGTGCAAGCACACATGCGAAAGCTGCATGCTTGACTTGTTTATCTCGAATAAGTAGATTACCATCACAACACTATACACTCATTACCATCACAACACATCGTAGGTCCAGCACGATTGTGACATCATAGGAAAAAGGTCTATATTCATTCTACCAGTGACATTACATGTGTTCAGACAAGAGGAGGGAAGCATTGGAGAGTCTATCGCTGTGCACGTGTTGAGCCCCAACTATGGCATCTGTCCCAACTATAGATGGCGCAGTTTCAAGGATGGTGCTGCAGTTGGACTAGTCCATTTATGGTAGGGTGCAAGTGTGCACCATAGCAAGGATCAATGCTTTTGCATTTGTGCCAGCATTACTTGCTGGCAAAATTCTAGTTTTTGTCTGTGTTGTGGATGAAATGCCAGGTCAGCATATTTTTTTATTACTTATGTCAGGGGCCAGCCCAAAAAAACTGTAGAAGGCTGAGAAATTTTCCATGGAAACTTGCTGACTATAGTTGGGACAGATGCTGTAGTTGGGTTACAGCATACAGCATATCCTCTGTCTGGGTTTTTTGGCAAGACAGATACATGTAGGTTCACCTCAACCCTCCATGCCTCAACTGTGAAGAGATTACAGGAGTGGGAGGCTCTTGTTATGCCCGAGCTATTGTTGGGAGATTAGCAAAAGGGCTTAATAACATATTGCAGCAGGTATTTAGAAAATGGGTCAATGTTAGTAAAATTCAATGGATGCTTAGTACTCCAGGTTATTACTTTCAGTGGGAAAACTTCCCAAAACTTACGGTCCATTTACTCTGATGAGTGGTAATGCATTTATGTGCGTGAAACATACTAAAAGCAGTGGTCTCTTGTGGGAACTGTTACTCTGAGAACAGAGAAACTGCACAGAATATTGATAAGCTGCTCATACCTGATGATCAGGTATAATGTTATAGACTTGCTGCCATAGACTTGCAGACATGGCTCTAATAGACCGATTGCACCTGCTAAGTCACATGACCTATAGTGGGTATCAAATATCAACAAACATGGTGTCCTCCCATAGCAAAGTGTCTTTTTAAGTGTTGTTTACCAAATATAAAGCTGATTTTCGGTAAAGCACTCAGCACATCCGTAGTCCGAGTACTTTACCGACCTTTGGCTTGAATTTACACACTTTACACTTTGCTATGGGAGGACGCCATGTTTGCTGATGTTTGATACCCACTCTAGGTCACATGACTTAGTGGGTGCCATTGGACTATTCAGGCCACATTCACACTCACCCGACAAGATGACGTCACTGTCCATTGTTCATGTCCAGAGCACAGAAATATATCAGAGCAGCTGCAAAAACTTACAAAATGTTTCAGTGATCCAAGATGGTACAAGTAAGACACGCTGATCAGCATGCAACATGTAAATATCCCTGGTTATTGCAAGATTAGTGTTCAAACACAATGAACATGTATCAGTTTTTAAATCTGAGACCTACTCAGAGTTGTGTTACATTTTAATTCTTTATGCTTTTATGGCAATGGACCTGCTCTATTAGTGCAGTAATTCTGGTAATTAAATGAGTTGTGGAGACTGGAAATTCGTGGCATATACTTGTAATAAGCATTTATTTAAACTGTTCAAATTCAGTCTCTGGTTCTGGTTATATTTCTATGTGTTAAGATGTTTCAACTGTCATTGAATGTACAGAAATAAAATATGTTGTTTATTAAAATGCTACACGTATTTTAATATGCCTTTTTTGAAATGTTTGTCAAGACTGTGTGACCCAACCAAAAAAGTCAGCCAGAAGTCAACTGAATTTAGTTTTAGTTAGACATTTTTTACAGTTGATAAATAAAAGCGTTTAAACGTTTTCACGCTGTTGAAACCGTCTAACATGATCAGGACACCTAACTAATTGATAAATCAAAATGGAAATCGGACTTGTTTCAGTTTCATGTAAAAAACAAAACAAAAAAGTGAAATTGTGGCCCTCTCATTTCACTATCCAAGTCATATGTTTCGGTTATAAAAAGTCAATGCTGTGAACACTGAAAACAAAAAAGTTACTCCAAATTAAATGTATTTAAATGTAAACGAAGCACCGTTTTGGCTTAGAATGGACCTTCAGAATAAGTGCGATATCTACTGTGACGCTACGTGTTTGTAGCTACTGAGAACCTGTACTTCGTGGGTGGCGATAAAAAAAAATATTCTGCAATTCTGCAGGCACCTGGTGTAACTGGCGATTAACTAATAATAATACACGTGGGCTAATTATCATGCCGGGAATACGGAGTGATGAGTCACATTCCTAGCTTGAAAGCCTGTGAAGGTCAGTATGCTCAGGAACCAGGTCTGAAACAAGTGTGCCGTTTGCCAATCCAACGCAGTCTGACTTGAGCCGATAGAGAAGAACAGACATCCTGCGGGTAAAATGCCAAATGAAAGATGACAAGTCTTTTTCCATCAAAGTGGTAGGGGCAGCGGCAAATGCTGCTTTCTGTAATATTGTATACAACCAAGTAATTGGGATACTTAAAAACAGTAGACTTTTCAATGACGAAACCTAGCACGTTCAAGTCGGAAACACAAGCCATCAAAAGGGCCAAGACAAGTATACCCGCATGTCAAAAATTGGGCCCATGCTTCCGGGAAAAATGGTTTATCGGGGGAGAAAAAAAAAACCTTGTCCATGCATGAATTACCTATGTTGTGCGTGAATGGATAATTTCCATTACTGCGCGACACACACTCAAGCCTGCTCTTGGCCATGCTCAGCAGTTTCAGGTTTAGTGAAATGCACAGCGTTCGTGCAAAAAGCGGAATAGGTGTTCTATCGCTGTTTGATGAGATTAGACGAGTTTGGTGGATGTCTGCGTTTTCGTTCACATGGATTACCCCCATCGTTTCCATTATTTTAACGTCCGAAGAAGATAATGCGATGGTTTTACTTGAATAGTTTAAATATTATTATTGTGTGTTGAACGTATACGTGTGCATTTTATGAAGCAAGATATGAGACGGAGAGAACCCCCCTACTTTGCTAATTGTTTCACTGGAATCTGAGGAATTCTTTTCAGACATCTGGGGTGTGTGTTTGATAACAATGGTCGAGAGTGTGTATAGTAATTGGACATGTTGGGGGTGTCTCATTTCTTGCTGGATATAATTTTATAGTATAGCTGCCATTGTTGAGCTATTTGAACACATTTCTTCAAATAATCACAGTGGGAGGCCTACCTGTCTTGCGCAATGCCTAACTCCTTGCTGCTGAATTCAATCAAGAGCCGCGTAATCTGTCGATTCGTCTCTGTGTCGTTGAAAGCTGCACAGCAGTACAATTCAATGATGGCATTAGGCGAGTTGTCCCTTCCTCTGATGATGCGTTGTCCAGGCAACAGCCAAATAGTAAAATACTACAGGAGGTTGTGAAATTGAGATATATTGACCATTACATCCACACGAGATTAGTTTGGATTTCTTTAATACTGGTACGCCAATCGAAAGTATTGCAATGTAATATGTCATATAACTTATCCGCATCCATATCCGTGCATTCTTTTGTGTAGAAAGCCAAAAATGATCACAGCGAAGTAAAACAGTCTACATGTACACTCTAGACGGTACGGTATCATTATGACCCATCATCAAACTTGAAGTATACATGTGTATTTCTGTTTTGGTAGATGGGAGCCAGGAATTCTCACTGCACCCATCAAAGCCGTAAAACACGACCAGGCTGAAGTTTACAATGCACCGAATGATTGTGACAGTGTTTCAGTTACACGTTTTAATAAATTTTGAAGAAGAAACAATTTTGACAATGCCCCAAATTCATCAAGCTTCCTAATATGTTACGCCGACGTTTCATTTTGTAAGCAAAAATAATGGATTTCCTGGAAAAAAACGACCTAAAAAGTAGGAGACCGGTTTCAGGTGTTTGAAACTACTTCAAGAATGCAGTTTAGCGTTTACCTGCTCTTTCCACTGGGTGATGCATTCCTTCAGCTTGTTTGACAATTTCAGCTCCAGATCGCTAGCCATTTCCCCCTTCGGTATATTGGTGATAATTTTCAGCACCGGCATGTTGTCAGACAAAGGCAAGCTACCTACAACGCGGTATAGTGAATTAATCACTAAGCTTCGAAGTACTCGAATACCAAGTCGCGCTGCGCTCCAGTGTTAATAAGCGCAGAACACAAAACGGAAAGCTACGCTACCACAATGCCACGTGTAATTGTTATTTCTAAGGGTACATCAGAGCTCTTCAAAGGTACTTAAAAGTTACAAACGTTGACATTTTTGTGTAGCACGTATTTCATTATTGTTAACCTCCATTGTTTGGCGTAAAAGTAATTAGGATATGGTTAATGATATTGACTTAAGCCCAAGCGGGGAGATGTTTAAATCTACACTCTGTAGGTGAAGGCATGTACATGTATGTTATCCCTCGACTCCTTCGACATCCTGCACGTGGTTGTATAATAATTAGTATTTTTCCCAGGGGTCGAACAAATAAAGTTTGGCTCAGAACGAGCATGCGATTGGGAAGTGAAACGGTAGTGTTTCGAAGCCAAGAGCTACTTGGGCCGGTAAAAGGAGTAATTACAAGTCACGCGTCTGTAATTTCAAATGTGAACACAGTGGTTGCAACCATGATCCCGAAATGCAGGTAATTTAAAATCGTTTCTGAGAGAGTAATCTCTATTTCCAGACTTGTCAAGTTAAAATTTAATCCCGATATGGAGATATAATGGAGATTTTTGGAAATAGAGATGTCTTTGTTTAAACAGAGCTGCCTTTTTCGGTCCTGAGTTTGGAGTGGTCAAGCAAAGCATTGCGTTTTGCTTCTTGCAATTAACCTGCATAATCTGCCATTTATAATTGGATCTTAATAAACATATCTTCATAAAAAAAATACTTGTATTTCTATTTAGGTGTCTTTTTTCTGGATTAATTAAATGCTACATTTTGCACGCCCTATATCGTGCCTCGAGCGTAGGCCCTAGCCGGTTTTATTGAACTGTCGTGGCCGATCCGCCACCCCCTGCGCAAGTTGTCTCCGACTCCAGCGTCAGAGATAATTACACGCTGGGGTTGATGTGGCCTCCTGACTTGAACGTGTACCGAGGACACCCGCAGATTTTACCCACTGAGTCAAACTGGGTGCGTTCACAGTGCATGTGTGTAAAATAGTAAGATTATGTACCGGTATGGGTGATCGGGTATCGCAAATGGCGGGATGTAGGCTTGGTGTACACGTGGACCTCTGCACAAAGCAAGCCAACGTAATAGGGTGCGATGGCGTTGTGTGGACTCACAGATGTCCACACAATTTTCCTCTCTGAAAAACAGTTTCAGAGGCATTTGGGGGCGGGCCAGGGTTATCTTTGGCAAAATGAAGGGGAACAGTCCAGAAACTCATCGCCAAAAATCCAGCTCGAAGAGTTATCCAAGTGGGAGAAGAAGGAGCATTTTTCCCAAGTTACTTTAACCACAGGAGAACAAAGGAATGTCCACACTTTGTATGTGAAACAAGTATGTGGGGATTCAGGAATTTGGGGACAAAGAAAGGCAAATCAATTGAGGAAAGGGGGTGGGAAATCATCTCCAATATGCTCGCCCAAATACCCACTGGTGTAACAAGAGGGACGTACGAGACCAGGAACGTTTCCCCAGCGAAAATCTGTGCCCCCGGTCCCCTCGCCATTTGAAAATTTGAAACTTATCCAGCCAATGTAAAATGGCATTTCAGTTCCCCCAATATTTTGTACTCTCAGAAATTTCCCTTTAGCAACGTAAATACGTCACTGAAAATACCTCCGAATGGACCCCCTCCACCGTTGATTGTTTGCCAGTTTGCTTCGAAAAGCTGAAAGGGAGCAAAGCAAGATGAACTCCCCTCCCCCTGGTGGCGACGCCCACGGTGAACGTATTGTCGATAAACCCACAGTAGGTGGCGTAGGCCTGCTTCTATTTCTCGTCTCTCTAATGCCTTGGAAGAGCAACATTTTAACCTCAAATGTCACAAGAAGTGATTTTTTTCAATCCCTAAACAGTCCCATTCATGAAAATCTTGAGTTTATGTATCTGCAAGAATGTTCAAATGAAATTCTCTTCTGGCCTGAGTTTCTTCCCCCCCCCAAAAAAAAAAGTTATGTGCGATAGGCCTACTCTACTATTAAAACGCGCCCATGGCCAAAAGTAATTTACCTACAGATAGTCGGGCATGTGAGTGTGTAAGTAATGTGAGTAATATTTATTTATTAGCGCTTTATAATATCATCTCTAAAGAACTTTTTAATGTTAATGTGCGATTTTCTCATATTTGTTCAAGTGCGCTACGTTAACACTCAGTTTCCGGACATTACCCTTCACCTCCTGAATTTCGGGCTAAATTTCATAACACTGATATTGTTCACATAGGTTTGACAACAAGAAATATGAAGGTCATAGTTCAAATATTTAACTGAACGTTAGTCTTTCAATGGAGAAGTTTGGCAACAGTCGCAACACTAAGCACAGGAAGTCGAAGGAACGTCTGGATTTTTTTTTCTGATCGAGGAACACTACATCAAGAAAACTTCGACTTCTGACTCCCCACCAAAGTCCCTAGAGGGCGCCGTTGAATTTTTAAAGAGTCTGGACCCATCCCAATTTTGTGACAGTGAGCGTACCCTGTCTGAACGGGTTAGCACGTGTCATTGTAAAAGGAGCTAGACAGAAAGTATCTCTGCACGTTTTTCGTGATTTCGAGAACTTTCTTGTGGCCGATTTCGTGTATTCCTTATCATATTGTCATTTTTGCTCGTTATTTCAAACCCTCCGCTTTGTGAATTGAAAATCGAATTCTTTGAATTTTTTGAGACGTTAACGATGGCGAAATGGGGACAAGGAGATCCTCGATGGATTGTTGAAGAGAGATCAGATGCTACAAATGTCAACAACTGGCATTGGTGAGTCACTAGACCTAGCTCAAGTTGTCCGAGTAACTTGGACCGTAAAAATCGTCTTTTTTTACATTTAGACATCGTTGGGCGATAGTAATTAGTAGGGTCTAAGTACCTTCCATAGGCTTTTGCTTCCATTAATTCATTTCACTCAAAATACTTAAATAGCAGCGTTCATTACCATTACTTTTAGCACCCTAATAAGGAAATATACTACTGTAAGTTTGCAGTGATGTTCTCACTCTTTTCCTACCTCCATGCTCATATCAAAATAAAGAAGTGGAAGGGCTTTGGTTTTGTAGGGATATTATGGGGTAAAACGGCAGCATAAATGATGCTACGAAGAGCTGTGATAGTGTAGTCTGGTTTCTTGACCTGGGACCATAAAAATTTCTTTCATGAAATTGTATTACCGGCAATGGCTGGGTCGGGTAATGACGTGAATCAAAATGGCGTGATGTGGTCGTCTTTTGCCGAACTCGAGTAAAAATTTCTGGTTTTCTTGCTGAAATATTGTCAAATTTACCTAAACAAGAGCTACTAGGATTAAGGAACAGATCCTCAAGGTCTGAATGTCAGTGTGTTTGTTTTCCTTATTATGGGAACAAGGTGCTAGTAGTGGTAATAAACCCTTTAAATAGCTCTTACCCCGAAACAAACATGTCGAAATCCTCCGAAGTTACCTCTAAAACGATCCTTAACTGTCGTAATGCACCCAGCTATGAACCGAGTGAGAATCAGAGATTCCAATAATGATCGTAAGATAAGGTTTACTCACATTTGGGAAGAAAAGAGAAATTTCCCCTTAAAATCGAAAACGCTGTTGTCATTGAGCTCGAAGTCACCATCTTGTACAAAAAACGATTTGAACTGTATGTTAATAGTGATTTAAACTGTATGTTAATGTCCTGGAGACGACGTCACAACGTGCTGGCCCAGCGGACCATTCACTGAAAGCACTCAGGAATGAGTCATTGGCGCACATGTGCCGACATGGTATGCTTTTTGTGAATGGTCCGCTAGGCTGGCGCGCTGTGACGTCTTCTCCAGGACATTAACATACAGTTTAAATCACTATTTGAACATGATTTGGACAACAGGGCGACATCGAGCTGACGACAAGACCGTTTCCGATTTGAAGGGGAAATTTCTCTTTTCTTTCCAAATGCGTGTAATCTTACCCTCATTATTGGATTCTGTGATTCTCACTCGGTCCATAGACGGGGACATTAAGAAAGTTTTGGAGGTTAATTCAGAGGATTTTGATTCGGGGTAGGGACTAGTTTGAATGAAATGAATTAATGGAAGCAAAAGCCTATGGAAGGTACTTGGTCCAAATGTTGAAAAAGGTGATTTTTAGGGTACAGTGACATTGGTGACTAGTGAGTCACCAATGCGTTAAGGCCTAGGCCTCTAGAGTGGACGAAATTTTGAACTGATCATGCTGGCTTAGTCAGCCAAGATAAAAAGAAACAAAAGTGGAGTCAGTACAAGATAGATTTTATTGGACTAGTTTAAGAGTTTTGTTTAGTCTAAGTCTCATATGTTTAGGAGATCAGGAGATGGGGATAATTCTTAACTTTTTAAAATAGGCCTAAACCTTTTCGACAGTCACAATGCATTATGGGTTTGGATGACAAACAAGCCATGCATTTTATTTATGAGCCTAGGGGGGGGGAGTGAACCAGTCAGAAATCAAGTTTACAGTTTTCTTCAGAATATTTCTAAAGTATCTGCACATTGCTCATCACCTCACAGATGCATGCGTAGTAGGCTTATACTAGGAAGATTTCAAAGTGACAATTTCTCAGATTTTTGTTGGAAGAAAATCACCCTTGATTGTCTTTTTTTTTAAGGGCACCAGTCATTCTATGCAGAGATCAACGTGATTGGTCAATGTGAGATGAATGAGCCTATTGATTGACCAATAGGCTAGGGCATTAATACTTGTATTCACGATCTTAGTCAGAGCACGGTCCATGACAAAAACTTGTGTTGTTGGACGGGATTCCCGCAGTTTTTCTTTTCTGCCATGCTTTAAACTTTGAGGTTTGTGAATATCTTCATCCCGAATATTTAATGGAACACTGTGAGAAGAGGATGGCTTGAATTGGAATATGTAGTAAATTGGAGGCACATTAACATACACTTCTCTCATGGGGCTGTGCATAAAATGGATTGCTTGTTTGTCATCCAAAGCTATAATGCATTGCGAACATCGAAAAGGTTTATTGAACGTTACCTAGCCTATTCAAATTTTTGTGTTTTTGTAGTGAGGTAGACTATACACAGGTAAAGTGGAGTTCCCTAACGTTACGGTGGTGCACTTCAACGTTGCCCTCGAATTTCTTTGTGCAGTGTTGCTAAACTTCTTGATCATGTTGGTTGAAAAACTTCAAACCAATTACTTGGAAATTACCTTTATAATGCATGCTAGGCCCACTACATGCTGTTAAACCTTTGTGAAGCATTTCTGTGTCGTGAAATTTACTCAAAAATTCCAAAATGTAGGCAGCTGGAAATTGGGCACAAGTTCAGCTGGGTGTGACACACTTGAATGAATCTGACTTCACATTGACAGTTCAGAAATTTCAGAATTTCCTCATTGTTGATAAATTCCTGTAAATCATTATCGAATTAGGCCCACAGTTCATAAGATTTGTTTCCTCCATTTTCAGGTGTATTTTAAATGTGTTTACTTTGCGCATCGAAAATCAGGCCAAATTAAATTGTGAGAGCTCGACACAATTTCATTTAGGCCTATTGTGAAATTGGAGAAGAAAATATTCCTCTGGTCCCTAGGTTGAATTGTCCGCCTGCTCACTTGAAATATCATCCTGATGCCATGCAGTGTGAAACTCAGGATTTGAAATGTATTTGGTGATTGTAACCTCATTTTTGTTTTGATTGTGCTTGTTTTTTTTGTTCAGGACGGAGCGGGAAGCATCCCATGCCTCCAAAGAGTGCTTGAAAGAAGTTTTGGTTGGTCTGAAAATCCAAGATGATAAAGGTTGGTTAGTGTCTCAAGTGGAAGTCAAATAAGACAATGATTTAGAGTTGATATGTAAAAAATGACCCATCTGTGTTGGTTGTTATTGTATATTAAATTTTAACTTTCTCATAAAGCAAAACTCTGTCCCCTGTTTACAGACTTAATTTCATTAAACTTGATTTCTGTATGGTATTGCTGCCATTTATTTGGATGCCCTGTGTACATGGAAATGTTTTCAAAACTTCTGAAACTTTCATTCACCAATGGGAAAGGGAGCCAGAATGTGACAACTGCTAATCATTGAAGAATAATTCGGCATAGATAGATCGAAAGGAAGTCAAACCTTAGCTCCCTGTAATATTTCATGCTCTCACGAAGTGATTGGAAAAGGAAATGTGAAGTATTGTGGTGTAAATTTCATATGAGGAGTTGTTTCTACACTTAAGTACATTTTACTTATTTCCTGAGTGATCATCGGAAACAGTTCTTGGACACGCAGACCACAAAGTTATTGACAGTACTGTAGAAGACGATATTGACAATGTGATCTGTATTTCAAGACAAATCTTTGTTTTCCTGTTGAGCCAGTTTGCCAGTGAAATGTTGCTAGTCAACAATCCCAAGTGTGAATATGTCTCTTGACATGACTGTGTTCACTTGCTACCTTGTACAGTGGTAAAAAAGGGAACCTCTTTGAGCTGTTGTTCTTGTCTGTACCTCCAGGAGAATGCGAGATTACAGAGATGACAAGCATCGAGGGAGAAGCCTCTGCCAGCAATAGGAAAGCCAAACTAATCTTCTTCTATGAGTGGAACATCAAATTGGAGTGGAAAGGTGTGCCAGTACCCTGTTGGGGTCAACCCTCATGTGTCCAGAGTTTGAAGTTAGCAGAGATCTGACTTTCTCATTTGTTGTGAATGCTTTCATCGTAACTGAGTTTGTATTAATGGGATTCATTAATGCGGAGTCAGTTGAATGACGGAATATTTCAGTATTGGACCTTCCATTGTGTTGAATATTCAAATACAAAATACATGTTTATGTGTTTTTGCCAAAAGTGAAGAAATGAAAAACTGAAAGAAAAGTAAGTTGGCCTTATGGGGCTGCAGTTGACTTGTAATTTCTTGAGATATGCTTTATGTACATGTATGCAATTTTGAAACCAAATTATTGAATTTTTCCCTTTCTTATTCCATTTATTTTCCCCTTCAAATGTTTGATTTCAAAAATAAATATTTGAATATTCAGTAACTGAATGTTCAAATATTCAAATAATAGTGCAGCCTTAGAATTCAACTATATTAATAGCTGCAAAAAGTTTTCTGGACCTGTAACAAATTCAGTCTCAGATTGCCAGAAACAGAGCTGTTCTGAAAATTTCGTTGTCAAATTTCACGTGGCAGTTCCCAACCTGACTATTTCAACACTGTTGACCTCATACCGATTGAAAATTAGTCGAGACGTATGTTGAAGTTACATAGATCTTTCCAATGAAGTATTTTGCTGTGTTTTGGGATGTCAAAGCAGAAGTCATTGACAGATGATTTTCTTATCAGAATTTTGTCACTTATGTCGCCTGAGCAGGTAATCTGAAGGACTGCAGTACAAAGCTGACTGGGCATGTACAAATCCCCAATCTTAGCGATGAGAATGAGGTAGATGAGATAGATGTGAGTACTAGGCTTGTTCTGCTCTCAATAAAGTGGTTTCCCCAAGCTAGGAAGTTTCCCTCCTGGTCCGGAGTTCTTCTGACAGTGGACATTAGAGACTTTGTTGACTTCATTCTGATTTACCTGGAACATGTAACTTTGCCTGGTGACAGAAAAAAATACAGACCTGACATTTTACTGAACTGCAGCCCTGAAATGAAATGTTTGTCCCAGGTTCATTAATCTCACCTCTGACATTTATTCTCTGTGACTTTGGGGCAATTTTTGCAATGGGAATTATGAATTTCACGTTTTCACGAGAGGGCCCAAGTGGTCGTCTTATTTCGGGCTAAATGTTGGTAGGATTCCTCAATCCTAAAATCCCCTGAGCATGAGCTGTCTTTTAAGATATATTTGTATTGAGAATTTGGCCTGTTCTCTCGTCTTTTACAATGACGAAAGTTTCTGTATCTTTGTAGTCAACTGTATCCCTCGTGTTTGTTATGAACAGGTTATCGTTACAACAAAAAAAGAGACTGAGGAATCCAGAATATTGAAGGAGATGATGCGCACAAAAGGGACTCCCCTCATCCGAGAACAGATTGGAAAATACATTACCTTTCTTAAAAATGGTATGTCCAGAGCAGAGCAGATGATCAGATATGGCTTGCTGGAATTAACTGAAAATTCCTCAATTGGAGACATCTCAAGAAATGTGGTACCGGAAGAAATGTAAGCTTTCCTGTCTACTGGGCTTACTGTGCTGTCTGAAGAAACCATCCTTTTTCAGCTGTGGTCATAATGAAGGTCGTGTGCCTTGAGCTAGAAAGAGCTTTTTGTAACCGAGCATGGACTTCCCTTTGCACCGAACACAAGATGAGACTTTGAGACGCTGGTGGCAGCAGCCGCGCCGTCCTTTGCTACAGCCTTACACATGCTCAGAACCGTGTACGCTCACACAGAGCGACCCACGCATGTTCAGAACTGGCAAGAGGACCGGTATGGCTGCTGTCACCAGTTGGCCTGTTTGCCGACTTTTTCACTTTGCTGGTTTGGGGTGGCATTTCTCATTTGTGTAATGCATACATAGCAGAGGAGGCAGGTAGACTGTTTCCAGTCTCTCCTTCTGTTAACTTTGACTCATGATGGAGCTGGGAGCCAGGCCCAGCAATCTTGTGTTCGCAGGTGAGGGGTTAGTTGCGATACCAGTCCAGTGACAATGTTCCAGAAGTATGCCACCTTGCAGAGGTTACTTTCTACACAGGGATAAATCAATTGGGCTGCTTTAATATCCTCAGCTGAGGGCACCAGTGAAGCGTTTTGGAAGAAGGAAGCGTACTGAGTGCATTTATATGCCAGCTTCTTGATCTGTTTGGCTTCGTTTATCCCACAAAGGAGGACAATGAGAATCTTTGTGTAGGAAAAGCTGGTTCCAAATGCTACTAGTGTAGCACCGGACTATTTCATCCAGTATTGTGTTTACAGCACAGTGTTGAATATAACTGGAATCTGGCACTTTACCATAAAAATTGCGAGGGTCTCTGGGTTGACAATTGTTGAAAATGTTGGTGAAGGTTCAATCAGTCAGTCTTCTTCCGGTCGATTTTGCCTAGTTCCCTGGATGTATTTTTTGCATTAGTTACCAAGAAAAAAAAATCAATTATGGGTGGACAAATGGTCCCTGATTGATCTTGGCTGCTGCCTGTCCACGGCCAAGTCGATTTGTATTTTATGGCTAAGTTTTTCTTCTTTCTTGCCTCGTTACAAAAGATTGGTGTAAAGGGATGATACTGCCCTCAGCAGAAGCACAGAAAGACTCGCAACCTTCCATGTCGAAGCCTGAGCCTGCCAAGGTATTTTCCTTTTAAATTGCTCGAGTGCCACGTGTACACCCACATACTAGGTCGTAACCTCTATCTGCTACTCTATTACGGCTTGTGGATTTCATTTTCCATGGTCTTGTTTCTGTACTTGGTTTTTGTCCTGACAAAACGTAGGCTGTGTCCAAAGCAGTCCTCCAGAGGTATGTCTACATAGAACAAGGGGAAAGGGAAATACCAGGGGAAGTTAAATGAGTTTCCATGACTGCTTCTTGTAATTTGCTTTGACTAGTATTAATTCGATAACTGAGCAGGATTTTAATTGTCTTGTAGGCGTCTCCCGCAGCCGTCAAGCGACAGCATCAGCTCAACCAGGAAAACATGAAGAACACGCAGATCGGCGTCAAGATTGACACACGCAAGCTGACGCTGTCGGAGGAGTTCAAGTGCTCGGCAGAGGAGCTATATCAGACGCTGACCGACCCACAGGTAAGGAGATGGTAGCCAGGGGAGATAGGGGTAGGTCTGGGAATCTGACTGGCCTGCATGTTGGGGTGTGGTAATGAGGAGGTTCACCCTTACGATACACAGAACAAGATGGTGGTTTGACAATGTCTCTTAGATCTCCTAAGGTAATTGTCCACCTCACAACTGTGGTAGACAGGTTGTCAATAGGCCGGGATTAGAGGGTGCCATTAGGCTTGTGGGACATATGGTTTGCTGTTGATGTCGGTTTGGGGTTCGGAATATCCAGTTCAAGGTGTACTTGTTTGGAAATTAATGTGTTCACACTCTTTAAAAGATTTGATTGGTTTGCACAGATTTAACCACTTCATGCTGGGGCATTTTTTAATGTTGATGATGCTGGGCCGGCATGACTATTATTTTTTACATTTTCAAAATCCTTCAAAAATTCATCATTTCATTTAATGGTCGTTTATAGCCGCACCAAGTAATCTTTGGGCACGACTCGAAGTTGACAGGTG